CTCGTCGGAACTAGTTTACACCACGAGGCTCTGAACAAGATTTATCCTGGTAGGAAACTTTTTTGCCTTATTTGCACATGTGGCCGCTTTGAGTGAGCTGGCCTGTTTTCTGTGGGTCAAACGGGGGTAGAGGTTATCTCTGCCTTCTAGTGGCTCTCCACACTTCATTTGGAGAGCGAGACAACCTCTTCCCCATTGACACAGCTGGACGCAAAATGAACTTTTTACGGCTTTGGAATTCATAACCCCTTGAACTCTTATCGCATAAAAGCCCAATAAAATGCATTGAAGTCTGACACTGTAAAATGCAAACGTCCTGTGCCATAAAGGTCACCTTGACAGAGGCAGGTTTCTCCCGCAGAGCTGCTGAAGCGTCTGGACGACAGCAGCCAGGAGGTTCGCAGCGCCGCCCTGCAGGCCGTCGCTCTGTGGCTGTCCAGCCTGAGTGGAGGCTACAACCCGGACCTCTGTGCTCCCCATCTGCAGCTCCTCTTTCAGCAGCTCCTGCTGCACCTGGATGACCCTGACAGCTCCGTGCAGGACCAAGTGCTGGGTGAGACCGGGTGGGGGTGTTGATAGCTGGAGATGCCTGAGAAAGACAGCTCTTCTTCTTTTGGCTCTTTGAAAGAAAGGTGCAGATTCATATTTAAGAAATTAGTTGGGGTTTTTTTTGAGAGAAATTCAGGATGACCTCTGTCAAAACATTTTCTTCCTCTGGATTACAGCCAGCAGGACCTACTCTCTCTCATTTCAAAGCTCTTTTATTCTTCTTTTGCACTCAATTTATCACCCAAACCAGGGTGAGCATTTTCTCCTGCCAGAATACTTCAGATCCGTCGAGAACCGGACTGGTCAGACACCAACAAACAATTAACTAGCCGAGCGGTTTCACTGATCAAAGTCGTAATATCTAAATAAGTTGGTGTTCAAACACTTGTGATAAACGGATTTAGTTGTGTGTTACCGACCTAATTATAACCACATGAGGAACCCCTCCCTCCCCTCTCTTTCTTGCCACCTCCTCACATCTGTCCTCACGTTCATCCCACTTAATCCCTCCATCTTTTATCTGTCGGTATCCCTTCCTCTTCTGCCGGCCCCCGTTTTCTGCAGCGGCTCCGATTTACGACCCCATCAGTGGAAAAAATCTGAGCGGCTTTTCCCAAAGTGTGCGGCTCCCCGGGACTTTCTGCTCTTTCCTGACTTATCAGGAATGTTAGCTGTCATTACTTCTGACAGGATGCAGGCGAGCGCTGACGGCTCGGCCAAAGCTGAGAGGCCTCTTGATGACATCTCTCATCTCTAGCGCTCAGGAAGACAAAGAGAGGGTAGCGTATTCTCATGCTCACCAGATAAAAGACGAGCTTCCATGCATTGTTTTCTAATGTGACTCCAACATTTGAAGGCCTTTTAAAAGGGTTGAGTAATATTTTTTGTACATCTTTAAAAGTTAAGTTGAGTTTTTTTTTGTTGTTTGTTTTGTCTTTTTTAAAAACTGTTCCCCGGCAGTGTAAATGTACACACCTTAATAGATTCCACATGCCATGAAAGAAAAGTAAATCATGATGTCATCGATTAACAAAAACGATCCTGGTCATCCCGGATTCTTTAAATTAGAACTGACCCCCTTGTTGAATCAAAAATGATGTGAAATGAACAAACCTTTTTAGTTTGAGTTGTACCAGTCGTGTCTGTCCTGCACAATCAAGAAAACAATTATAAAGAACTTTTCTGACAACACGAAGTAGAAGAAAGTGGGGTATCTTAGCCTGATCTAATAAAAATTGTGAACAGGTTAGAAAATCCAACCTTTCCTATGAATTTGTGGCCTACCAGAAATATTTACATCAGTAACTCACCCAGGAAGACACAACACTACCCAGAACAACATCTGCGAACTCAGTCGCTAGGCTAGGCTAGCTCTCTGTGAACTTTAAGAAAGCACTTGCATAATAAGAAACAACAGATCTATTAATTAACATAATCAGGACTTGTAAAAATCACATAAATATCTCAAAACTTACATTTATTTTGTTGGAATTTATATGGTAGAGCCACAGTAAAATTAAGTGGCTTCTTTGTTTTTATTTCTGAGAATCAGAGTAAAGGGGGCTGATTCCAAATGCACTCAACAGTTTTCAGATTTTAATTTCTAAAGGTTTTTGAAATCAATGTACTCTCACCTAAAAGCCCAATAAAATACATTTTGACGATTGTTGTAATTTGACAAAAAGTGAAAAATGAAAGGGCCATGAATACTTTTGCAAGGCTCTTATAAAGTTTACATCGTCCTTTGCCTGTCAAGTGCTTCCATCCCATTGTTCTGAAGTTAATAAACACATGGGTGAGCTAGGATTCTCTAAAATAAAGCACGGTGCGTCCGCAGACACCTCGGAGTCTCTTTGTGAAACGGGAGGACCTCACATCTTGCTGAGCGACCATCTCCATCTGACCGCTCCCCAAACGTGGAAGCATTCCTCCCTGGTGTTTGAAGCGCTCTTTGTTCCCTCCCCGCTCTTTGTTCTGCTTTGTCTCCCCCTGCTTGTTTCGGTTAACAGTTGATCCTTTTCTTACGCTTCTTATATTTCAAACGCATGTCTCTGAAGTGGCTGGATGTCTGCGCCGCATCCTGACAGAATGATGGACAGCGTTCCCGTCCTCTCCCTCTCATCCCTCCTTGTCTCACTGTTGGCACGAGTTTAAATCACTTCTCACAAGCCGTCATTGTTCTCCTTTATCTCAGAGTCCGCTTCTCCCCCCTCCCCATTCATCCCTACTGGCACTTAAAGAAAACCTGAAGAATCCCCTAAACAAAGTATAATGCAGGCTGAATCCTTCAAACTGGTGGCATGTCACCACTGAACTTTTCACATCTTGATCACTGAAGAGTCCACCTGTGTAGGAAAACCACGACACCCCTAAAATCTACAGATTGTTGGAGAAAAAAACGAGAGAAGAGACGGTTTTATCGCCTCCCTGTGGAAAGGAAAGGAAGTTTTTCATGAGTAAGCGAAAGCGCTCTACTTCCATCTTCTGGTGAGGTCGCTCCTCTAGAAAATTCATTCAAGTTGATTCTGCTGTCACTTGGAAAGAAATAAGATATTTTGAATGGTTTAAATATGTTATTGAATAAAAAAGAAAACATGTAATGTAAGATTAAAAAACATGTGATCAAATTATAGCATATATAATATATTTAAATCCTTTTAAATGTGAAGATTCCTTGTTACTCCTCATTCTTTATAGTTTTTATGATAATGGGGTGAAAACAATCAGACTCAATTTTGATTTAGGTCAGTTCAGATTACTGAAGTCATGGCTGTTAGCAAGGTGCCAGAAGAATAATGTATTACTTTCTTTTGAAGTTATAAAAGTGTTTACCTAAAGATTTCTGGTGTGTGTCTTAAAACAGTGAAAGTCCAGTTGATAGGCTGTGTCATCTTTGTGTGTGTGTGGTTTCTTTGTTTGTGCAGAAGTCCTGAAGAACGGCAGCTCGGTTCACCCGTCTCTTCTGCAGAGGGAGGCTGAGGCTGTGAGGGACAAACACAGGAGCCCCCTTCACTGTGACCTCCTGCTGCAGCACATCAGCTCTCTGCACACACACACCTCGCACCAGCAGAACGACGCAAAACACGTCCAGACTGAAGCCGGTGCCTTCACTCCTCATCAAAACCAAAACTCTGTATTGTAATTTACTGCTGAGTTAATGTTGTTTTAATTTTTTTCCTTCAGTCATTCCTGACTGGAGGAATAGTACGTTGTTTGTACTATTAAGATATATTAGATGGGATTAATGTAATGCCACAGTGCTTTTTTTTTAAACATCAGAAGTGGCTTAGTGCGATTTGAAAATTAAAGAAAAACGTCTAATTGAATGTCAAAAACAATTTCAAAGTGTATTGAAATGCAGGTAGCTTAATGATTTTCTACTGTGATTTTAAACTTTGTACGTTTTGTGTGTGTTTTGAATTTCCAGAACAGATTGAAGGTAATGCACCTTGAAGTATTTCACAGTTCTTATAAAGAATTCAAAAAATAAATGATGGGAAAATGTTTTTGTTTCTCTTTTCCTTCCTTCATTCATTGTGCTATTTCTTCCCCTTTATTATGTTCACTTTTTTTATTTCCTTGTCTGTTACCTATTTCTTTCCTCCTTCTGTCAAAAGTCGACCCTTCATACCCTCATCTACGTGGATTTCAGAGGAGATGAGAAACAGACATTTAGAAATAGAGAAAACATTACATTTTAGCGAATTGTTCGATTTATTACCTACAGATGTATGTTCTTCTTTACTTTAAAGAAATTTTAAGACTGGTTCCATTGTAGTGATTTCTGGGAATCTGGCAGTAATCAGGGGTTCGTTTGACTCTTGAATTTAAACCACACAATTCATTTATGATTAACACAAGATTCTGTACCGCAGAACCAGGATAGTCTGGACAGCTTTAAGCCCCTAATCAAAGAAATTGTTTATTCAACAATAAATTATTAAACACAATTTTTTGTTCATTCCAAAACATGTTTGTTAGAAATAAAAACATCTGAACGGGCCAACTACTTTTCTATTTTATTTTTTTTTTTAATCATTCTATATTACATCATTTGAGTTAAATGTTTAAAGTCCTTCTGAATTTTTACATTTACTCATAAAAATCTGGCCAAATATAAGTTACTGATAATTATAGTAAAATGTAAACAGTTATCAGCTTGTGTGTTTGTGTGTGTGTAGCTATTGGCAGATGGGAGTGTTGAAGAAAAGTTTTCTTTGTTCTATGCACAAACTAAACCAGATAAGTATCCATTCCATTAATTTAGTTGTTATTAATCAGCGATATTTGTTGGGGGTTTGTTTTGTTTTGTTTTGTTTTGTTTTGTTTTTTTCCCTCCTGAAATAGTTTGCATTATTCTGTGGCTGCAGGGGGAAAGGCGTAAAAGAAGGGGGACGCTGTCTCTTTAAGGCGTTAAAGGAGGCGTGTAGGGGACGTCGGCAAGACGCGTCCAGAGTGAATGACTGAGCTGCGTGCGGTTGCGTGACATTGTGACAGGACGAAACTCATCAGAAACGGAACGGCTCGGATTCGCGTCTGCAGGTGAAGCGGGAATCAGAGGGACGGGACGTGGGGATCCGGAGACGCGTCACGGCTGGTTGGCATCTTTACGCACGGAGGAGCTGCGCGGCGCACCGCTCACTTTCAGCGAGGTTACAAAACAGTTCAGCCACTCTGCAGCCAGCGTGTGAAGATCAGCCTGACTGACCTACATCCCCGGAGTTTATTTTTTTTTTGTTTGTTTTTTTTTTTGTTTTTTTTTCCCCCTCAAATTTTAGAAGAATGTTTTCACCTTAAAGGCGTGAAACAACAATTAACTGTGAGCAGCGCAGGTGGATTTCCTCCCGCATGATGTACACAATCACAAGAGGTCCCAGCAAACTGGTCACGCAGAGGAGAACAGGTGAGTCTGCCAACTGTCAGCCGCCTCACACCTTCACCTTTCAGACACGCGTGGCTGTTTTTAATCGTTTCTGCAGGACCCACTCAGCAGCTGGAGAGCAAAATCAATGACTTCAAGCACAAGCAGACGTCCTGGAACATGCCGGAGTGAGTAAACCCGTTCTTTAAACTCATTTCAAATTAGAGGAACCTTCAGGTTGCCAGAACAGCAGGGGGTGTTTCTCCTTCTTCTTCCTGAACCTGAGGAACTTTCTGCCTGTTGCAGTGAATCTGGGTGCAGCGGTTTAAATCTCCTTAATCCAGAACACACTTTAACTCTACCTGTTGTTACCATGATGACTTTGAGGCAGCAGACACGACCCTGAGCGTGTTTGAGTGTGACCTTGGCAGCACATGCTCCCTCTCTCATTCAGCTGTTGCAATCTGACTTTCTACTGAGGCAAGCATGCTTGAGTTTAGGTTCAAAGGGCAACTTTTTTTGTTTGTTTGTTTTGTTTTCGTACAGTGAGAATGAACAGAATCTCTGATTTTTCTCTTTCCACTCGTCAGCCTTCCTGCACCCAAGATCGTTTTCAACCGTCTGAACGGGAAGAAGCACCAGCAGGCCGCTCAGGCGCTCCCCGCAGACGGCGGCCATGAAGAGGCTTTCTCCCCGGAGCACGAGGAAAACGTGAAGTTCATCTCTGAGGGTGAGGAAGACCGAACTGAGCTTTTTGTCGCCTGCGCTGCTGGTTTCTGTGAATGACTTGGCTGCTATCAGTGTATTTTTTAAAAGGCAACGGATCAAACGCCTCCTTCCCTTCCTTCCAAGGCGACTCCCAAACAGCTGCTCTGACACTGATAGAGCAGAGAAACTCTCTCGCACACACATTTCACACTCGCCAGGACAAAAGTGCTGAGGGAGCTTTTGATTTCAACCATTTCAACCCACAATATGGTCACACTGGACTTTGAAGGAAAGAGAATTTGTTTGAGTCAAAACAGTTTTGTTTTGTTTTTCTTTTTCCCCCTCCCTACAGTCACAGAATCCCTGTGTCTCTAGGAAACCTTGCTTGGCTCAGCTGTTTTTGCTTTCTGTGTCCTGCCAGTTGTTGGCATTGAAGCTCAGCCACAGCAGCCCATAAACAACTCCAGTAACCTTGTGTTTGATTGGACAAGGCCGTAAAGTAGAGCCAGCTCTGTAAAAAAAAATACCGCTGTTTCATTCCCATCACACCTTTTCAGTTTTTCACACAACAACCACAAGCTTTAGTGTGTTTTAATAGACTATTACAAAGTAGTTTATTGTGTTTAAGAGGAAGGAAACTAAAGTCCAGTAAATAAACTCCCTCTAAAAGTCCTGCAATTGTTCATCTGTGTGAAATCTAATCTGAGCATAAATGCACCTGTTCTGTGAAAGCTGCAGGCTCTTCCTAGAGAACATGTGACACAGCAGAATTAAATGATTTAAAAAAGTATTTGAAGCTTTGAATATCTCGCAGAACAGTCAGAAAACAGTGTGTGGCTCAGTTACCAACATGCCAAGGCAGGGCCTTTCCAAACTGACTGGTTGAACGAGGACCAGCAGAGATCCAGAGTCCAGGAGAGAGAGATTTGATCGTCCTTCCCAGGATGACCAACAATGTTTGTGAAATGGCCCTGTCAAAGTCCAAACTTTGATACAATTTTTAATCTCTGGAAACAATTGAATGTTCAGAAGGTCAGTGTTTAGCCTGCCTGAGCTTGAGCTGTGATGCAAAGAAGAATTGGGAAAAAAATTCCCAAATATTCATTTTAGTTTTTAAGACATTTTTCAGATTTGTCAATGTTTTTTTTGTTGTTGTTTTTTAATAGAATGAATCGTTTTTCTGTCACTTCCTGGTTCCTGGTCTATCATGTAAATCTCATTGAAATACACCGAAGTTTGTGATTACGCGTTGATACCGTTGCAAATCCCTGCAGCTACCATAGATTTCATCAGTCACACTGCATGTGTCTGAGACTCTGAATGATTAAAAAATAGAAACATTTCTCTGCAGTGGCCTTTGTTCTGGTGGACTTTACCCTGTGGGTGTGTCACTCTGATGCAGAACCGTTTTCATATTTCTTCATTAAACTCTAATTGTTCGACATGCGGTTGTTAAAGAGCTGCTTTCATTCAGCCTGGCAGGAGGTGCTTCAGGCGGAGGAAGGTCGAGGAGAGCAGGACTCCCAGACGGCAGTTTACTACAAAGAAACGTCTGCTGGGCCACACATGGACAGTGAGTACAGCTGCTTCTCTTCCTCCACCAGTTCGGCTACAAATACATGAAACAGTGGCCCTGTAGAAAATTAGAAAATATTTAAATCACTTGCACATTTTTTTATTGCTTTATTCATAAATGTATCAACACTAAAGACACATTTTAATAACCATAGTTTTGAAAGTCATTGCAGTTAACAGGCAAAGTTTATGCAGATATTTTACATTTTATGTTATCAGAATGAAATCTGCAAAATAGTGAAACATTTTAACTTTTTAACATTTGAACAGCAAAGCATATCAATTGTGTATTTATGACTTTGTTTTAATTTTTTTAAAAAGTACTTGATTCAAACATAGTATTGAGGAATCTTAGAATAATGTTCTAATAGTGGACATGTTAACTTATGTAGTTTCTGATTACGACCACTAGAGGGCAGTAAAAGCAGCATGAAAGTCTATGGAAAAATGAGTTTCTTGTCTTGGTTTTTATTTCAAACCGATGAGTCCGATCCATATTTCTTCCTTTCCAGGCTTTGTGCCCATAGATCTGGACGAGTGGTGGGCCCAGCGCTTCTTGGCCAACATCGACAAGCGGTCCTGATGTTTCAGACTGGATTGGATGCTGTTTGCCAGTCGGGAGGTGAAAACTGAGGAACGGCTCACTGAGGGGAGAAGATGCCTGCTTCTGTAGGCGCGGCGGCTCAGACGGCCCAGGAATCCTTTAGATGGACCGACGGCGCTGGGGCGCTGACCCCAAAGCTGCCGAGAGCTACTTTAGTGTCTGAAAGACCAGATGTAGGATAAGGTTTCTGGGGGTGTTTATGGTCACAGCAGAGACCATTTGAATGCAGTAAAATTGTGTTTTTCCAAACTTCTGGGTTTTATTTCACTGCATTTGCGGTTTCCACTTTAATAGTTAAAAGAACCTTATTTGGCAACTGATGGTAACATCCCTAATCTTAAATGTGGCTTATGAAATATTTGGAGATTTAAATTTGAGAACAAGACGAGGAAACTTTAAAACTGACTTTCACACACCAGACATGAACGGAATGCGAGTCCCATCAAAAATAAACCGTCTCAAAATGGATGAAACTTCTCCAACACCACAACCAGACAGAGAAGCTTTGTTTTCAGTGATTTGTGCAGCAACAAATTCCTCCACAGTAGTCTGTATTGATCTCCTGAACTGTCCTCGGTCAGCCTGTCTGGGTGCTGCGAATGCTTCAGTCGGCATCTGGAGCGAGGCGAGTCGTCAGTGTTTCTCCAGAGCTCTGGCCAGGAGCTCATTGAGCCGTGAGATCATGGGCCGGGGGTCGTCATTCAGGCCAGCTGCAATCATGGCGTTGTCGTAGATCTGAAACGAGCGACGGTTTAACATCTCATCGGTCACAGCTGTAGATGTTTAACAATTTGTTTAAAACCAAACAGAAACAAGATTCAGTACCTGTTCCAGCAGCAAACCAGCCAGTTCAGAGTTTGTGTCCTTCAGTGAGTGCAACTTCTTGATCAGATCGTGTCTAACGGGTGAGGAGAGGGATCATAGTTAGCAATTCTTACTTGTTTCTTTTGAAAGGAACAAACTGGTGAAATCCGTGTTTTACCCGGCGTTGATCTCCAGGGTGGGCTGCAGAATCTGGGCCCTCTCCTCAGCAGTGCGCGCGAGCTGCTGGGTTCGGAGGAAGTGGCGGGCCGCGCCCATTTCCAGCACCGTGATCATGGCGGGATGAGTGTCGAGACGAGGAGTCAGCTGAGCGTTACGAAGAAAATGACATTTGTGGAATGTCAGACATTTGATATTCGTGGAAAGAGATTTTTTGGATCTTTTCAGTCTTTGTTCCCTAATGTTGACTCCATTCTTGCGGTTACCTTTATGTTTGTGACCCGGGGACCCAGAGTGTTCTTCATCCAGGCCATCAGGTCGTCCGCCTGCTCCTGGGTCAGCCGCTCAGATGCTGCGGTGGAGAACAGGGCGGGATTACAGCCATGACAGAGATCACGGCCCGCTCCGCCTGACCTCTACCTGAGGGTGGGGCTCACCTGGTTTGCTGTCCTCAAACTTCTCTTCCTTGTAGTGATCCACCACGATGTCCGTCTCCACCGAGATCAGCTTCTTCTTGTCAAACTCCCTGAGGTGAAGCAGGGTCAGCTCGTCGAACTGCTCATAGCAGAACAGGACCTGCGAGCACAACAGAGTTATCCCTCATCTGGCCTCTCACTGCATAAAAACATTTTCAATCACTCATCATGTCTCCCACCTCCATTTCTTTCTTCTTCATGGCCTCAAAATACGGCGAGTGCTCGGCCAGGTGTCTGTTGGGGGAACACAGGTAGTAGATGTTGCGCGTGCCGGCCTTCATGCGGGATCCGTACTCCATCAGGTTGGTCTGCTGGCCGGCCGGCAAAGCAGACGACTCGAACCTCAGCAGCTTGGCGATGTCTTCCTGCAGAGCCACAGAGCAGGCGGTGAGGACTGAGAAAAACCTGCTGTGCGGGGAGCAGCATGTCTAATGCAGCACCTTTACGTCCTGTTCCTGGGTCGTGACGATGCCCTCGCGCATGAAGAGCCCGTAGTCCTCAAAGAACTTGTTGTACTTCTCCGGGTCCTTCTTGCTTTGGTCCAGCAGGAAGCGGATCACTCGCTGCTGCAGGACATTTCGAAGCTTTCTGAAACAGGAGATGCACATATGGTCACCAGAATTCAAAAACACTCCTCTGCTCACAGGTTCAAACCTTTCCAAGATGGAAATTTCCAAAATTTCCATCTGGAAATTTTGGAAACTCTGGAAACTCTATGTAATATTTACACTGCAAAAACATAGATTCCTACCATGTATTTTGTCTAGTTTCTAGTGCAAAGATTTTACTTTACGAAGGACAAGTAACTTTTGAGCAAGATATCAGAGCATATTTTAAGTAAATAAGTCATTAATATTGACTTTTTAAAAAAAAAAAACACAAAAAAACGTATCTTTTGGAGATTAATTTACAACATTGGAAAAATGTCTTAAGACTTTGTTCTGGAACAGCTAGAAACCGGAGAGGAAGAGTGGATCCAACATTAATGGATCAATCTGGTATAAAATATCTGGCCAAAAATTAAATTCACTGCTTTGAAAAGAGCATTAAAACTCTTTTTTTTAAAATAGAGCTGAAACGTTTCCTCAAGTGATTCGGTACCTCAATTATTAAAATTCCTCAAGGAAAACTTATCTGCCTTGAAGCTTCGTTAAGTTACAATTTGTTATTTAGCGCACCATGTCTTTTCTCCTGCCGGAGCCGCTGCCTGGTGGCCGGTGTTCAGAGCGAACGGCGGGGACGAGTGCAGCAGGTTAACTATTATTGTTGCAAGTTCATTTTCCCTATCAAATCACTACAGAATTAGGGAAGCTCAAATATGAAAAATTAGATTGATGTTGATATGTGATTGTAATACTGCCAATATTTTATCTTTTTCTAATCTGATTACTCGATTAATCGTAAGAATAAGTGACCGATTAATCGATTACTAAAATATTAGTTTACAACAGCCCAATCTAAAATAAATATTTAATCCCAAAAAATGCAAACAAAAATCTGAACCAAAGGAGCTTAGAGAGGCAGATTTGGAGAAACCTGATATCAATCTTACAAATTTGATTTCCAACAAGACAGTAAACATACATTTTTTTGAACGCAGTAAAAAGCTCCACAACATTAATCTGCATGGACTGTATGCTTTAAACCTAAAGATTCTCAAGGTGAGAATGAGCCACAATCAGAAACAAAAGGTCTGAATCGAAAACTACTCCACTCTACCTGATGAGGGCGCTCTCCTGCAGCAGTTCTCTGCTCAGGTTCAGAGGGATGTCTTCGCTGTCCACCACACCTACAGCCGCAAAAACAAATGGTCACATTCCTGATGTGAAGTGTGAGACGGAACCGAAAGGGTCGACCAGCGGGTGGAAAAGTTCAGGACGACGCAGAACCTCGAAGGAAGCGCAGCCACTTGGGCAGGATGTCGGCGGCTTTGGTCTGGATCAGGACCTTCCTGCTGTACAGAGCCACGCTGGAGCCCATCTCTCTGCTCACGTCAAACATGCTGGGTTTCTGTCAGATGGGACCAGGGTTAGTTCAGTTTTATACGATCAGAGCCAAAATCTAAACTTCATTCAAACATTTTCCTTATCGAATCAGCTAAAACCGTACTTTTTCCTCATTTTATTCCCCAACTTTCTCAGCTGACCTGAAATTCTCCAAACACTGCTCACCGCGTCAGGGACGTAAAAGATGCTGCGGATGTTGAGCGGCGCGTCGGCGCGGTAGTGCAGCGTGTAGCGCGGCTTATCGTAGGCCTGAGCAATGTAGCGGTAGAACTCCTCGTGCTGCCAGTCGCTGATTTCTTTAGGCTCCATCATCCACAAGGCCTGGTGGACAAAACCCAATCAAGAAATCCTTTTGAAAGCAGTCAAAAGGTCACAGAGTGTACTTGGTAAGTTTTACATTAAACACTGAAGATAAGAGAAGGACTGAGGCTCACCTGCAGAGTGTTGAGCCTCCGTCCGTTCAGGAAGATGGGGAAACTGACGAAGTTGCTGTATTTTGTCACAACGTCTGAAACAGATTCATCATGGAGTTGCTGTATGAATTTTATTGTACACAGTTGTGGTTCAGTACATCATGGTGCGGTTGGAGATTTACCTTTAACTCTGTCCTCAGAGGAAAACTTCTTACAGTCGTCTTTGAGGTGCAGCACAATTTTAGTTCCCTGTTGAACGCCGCTGGCTTCAGCGACCTCAAACAGTCCAGAGCTAAACGGGGAAGTGAAAATGTCCATTTGAAGTTTAACCGTTTTACAAATTAAAACAGAATAAACGTGGTCTCAGTGCTCTCACCCATCGGAGGACCACTTGTATCCGGGAGCGTCCGGCTCTGCAGAGCGGGAGAAGACGTCCACGCGGTCAGCCACCATGAAGGCGGAGTAGAAGCCGACACCAAACTGACCGATGATGGTGCTGCTGGCCTCTGCCTGGTTCTGCAGGGCATCTAAAAACGCCTGCAGTGAAGAGGGGAGAGAAGAGCGCGAGAAGGATGTGAACACAACACAGAGCCAAAGCTCAGTCACATTAACATTTAAAGTCATTTGCCTCCATAATAACCGCCAGTGAGGCTCACTTTGCTGAACACGAGCACTGACCTTGGATCCAGAGCGGGCGATAGTACCCAGATTGGCCACCAGATCCTCTTTGCTCATGCCAATTCCTGTGTCCTATCACAAAAACACATTTTTCACTACAAAGTTTTATTCAAAATGCAGCAGTACATTACCACCACCAGATGGCAGCACATATGAGAAGTAAAACAGCAGCATGTGTTTTATATTTGTAAAGGTTAAAATATTCCTATATCTTAACTTCACACAAACAAGTTTTCAAACCACTTGAAAATTTCAAGTGTTTTATGCAACAGAAAATATGTAGAAGTAAATGAGAAACATCCAGGGTTTTCAAAATGTAGGAATCTATAAATATCAATTTTCTCACCTATCATGTCTGAATTTTTTCATACATACCTGAGTACTTAAAAAAAAAAAAACTATTTCTTATACCATCATCAAAAACTGGACTGCTCTAGATTACTTCTCAGAGCAAAACATCTTAATAATAATAATAATAATAATAATTGGGCTTTATATGCATTTCAGGGAGTTACAAAACACTGAAATTCAAATATTATTAAAACATACAGCGCTGGAATTAATCCAACAATATTTAAATCACATACAAAAGCAATAACAATACATTTAAAGGTCAAGATAATTCTCATCTGGCATTAGATGTGGGTACCTGAATGGTAAAGGTTCCTTTAACTCCATCAGTCTGCAGGTGGATTTCCATCGGAGCCGTTTCCCCGCCAGCTGTGATCATTTTGTGTCGCAGCTTTTCCAAGGCGTCGCTCCCGTTAGAGATCAACTCCCTGATGAAAACCTGGTGGAATGAGGGTGAGCCAGGAAATGGATACAAAGGAGCGCTGACAATACTTGAACAAAGTGAAGGAACTGTCTCACAACTTCTTACCTCCTTCTCTGAGTACAAAGATCTGGCAACAATGTCCAGAAGTTTCTTTGTTTCAGCCTGAAACTCATGTTTAGAGCAACTACCTGAAAAAAAAAAAATTAAGAGTGACACAGAGCCAAACGTTAAGGCTTATGAGCCCTGAAGTTCAAGAAGGAGAGAAAGAATAACTTTGCAGCTGCTCAGGCACCTTGTACAGATTCCGTATCGGTGATGATGGTGTGTAGAGGTTCTTCTTCTGGCTCTTTCTCCACTTCCTGAGTGCTGTAGAAGGACTGCTGTTTGAGGCCCAGAGAGGACCACTGAGACCTCCACACAGCGGGCCGGCTGCTCCACCTCTGCTGCTGTCCAACCTGGAGATCTAATGGCATGAAGTGCACAAAGGAAGAAAGCTGCAGTATAATGTACACACAAGAAATATAAACATACATTTTGGACTTCTCGGGAAGAGCTGTTTTGGCAGTCTCTTCAAATATTGTGTAAATTTGCGATGTTCTTTTATCGCATGCAATTGTTCTGTCCTGACAGTTGCAAAACAAAAAGTACATCTTGTAAGTTATATGTATGTTTAGCCAGTCAGTGATGTTTCAGTGCAGCATCCAACAGGACATTTTACAGTTTTTACTTTATTTCTTGCGTAATATATTTAAATTTTGTGTCGTCATGAGCTACAAAGCATGCTATTTAAACATAAAAATACAACATAGAATATACCACTGTTTCACTTGGTGAATTAAATAACTCAACATTCAAATATAGAGAGTTGAATCTGTTTTTTCAGTTAATAATTATGCTCGCAAGGAGCTCAGTCAGTATTTTTTTTTTTACTCGGTTTTTTGTTTCCGAGTGAACAAAACTAATATTTAACCTCATTAGCTGAAGGTTATCAGTTCAAACATGCAGCTCCCAGCTGATGGAGCGAGATTAAGCTAACTGCGCTACCCCCTACCTCGCGAGACATTTAGCGTGCTCAGTCCACGCGCACAAGACGTTAACCGTAAATTGGTCCTGTGGGAAGAAGCGAGGATGAGGCGAGCCAGGCCGAGGCAGCGGGACATTTTGACGGATATCAACAAGCAGGTGGATACCAAAAGTCACTAGACTGGGGGACACACGTTGACCGGTGAAGACCGAGGATGAGGCTGCGCTTGAAGATGACGTCACCAGGGTGTCTAGAAATATGCCTGATCAGAATTGCAGAAGGAAGGTTTTATATTATTTTTGTTTGAAAACAAATTTATAAGCATCTATCATTTTAATAGGTGTGTCATTGAAAGCAAGCTTTTATTTTGCATTTATTTTGAGAAGATACGGTTAACTTTAAAGCGTGCTGGCGCAGTGGCGTTGTTCTTCACTTACACAGACAATAAAAACAGCTCGGTGATAAATTGAAGGCACTTCCTCGTGTGAATCCCGTTTCCCCAACTCACTTTCACATTTGGGGCGTATATTTGTACGAAATTGACATATAACTGAGCCCAAAACAGGCTTGTTCAAAAGGTTACATAATGGTCCTATCGCGACTGGCTCCGGATAACCAGGTGAAATAATTGGACCTATCTGAGTCGCGGTTCTGTCAGGTGTTGATGTACTGAAGAGATTTACATATATAATCCCCGGTTTCATTTGGCACCGACTATATAACATCGGACAACTCAAAATCTCAGGGGTTCCTCAAAGCGCCATTATTCTACCGCTTTTATTCACTATATATCCTCCCACAGCTCCGATTGGGTTGAAGAGATTTAATATTCATATTAAATTTCCTCCAGCTTGAGGAGGGAAGACATTGACGAGAGATCAGATACTTTTCAACATACCTCGACACTTTAATAGACTAGACTTCAACACCCACAAAGATAAAACCCCAAACTGTCTGCCAGTTCTTTAAAACAAAAGAATGCAAGAATTAAGGGTTTCCTGTCAAAACAAGCCTGGTAAAATATTGATGCACGCTTTTTAATTTTCTCTGGTCTTCTTATGCCTTTACTCATAGGTCAGCTCATCTAAAGTGGTGCTCCTATAGTGCTGACCAAGAAATTACTACACCGGCTCACTGTTTGTAAAAGGTTCAGTTTAAAATCTTAATGGTTTATGAAGAACTGAATGATCTTGAGAGTAAATTCATTTGAGAGTTGCAGGACAGCTCCCTGAAAAGATGCAGAAACTGTTTTTAAGATCTGAGACTTGAAACTATAGTTTCCTGGATTGTTCCTGTAAAAGTTCATTTAATCAAATCTTAACCTGTCAGCATTTTAAATTTACAACATACATTTTCATTTGATATTTAAATGCTGTCATTACTCTTCTCTCCCTCAATACAAAATGAACTTGCTTTGCAAAGCGAGAACTTTTATATTTCAGAGAAAAGGGTGATATATCCTGCCTGGGTGAAAACAGTTTATGTCCAGAAAGTGGAAGAAGGGTTGAGCTGCAGAGAATCATTACAGAACCCCAGACAGATGTGGAAATGGCTGTAAAGATTCTGTGACCACTTAGACGTAGAAGGACCTTCGTATCCTCCAGGAAGTGTTGCTGAGAAGAACGATGTCTGGGTTTCCCACCTGGACCGGCTGCCCTACGACTCCATCTTGGATAAGTGGAAGACAAATGAAGAATGGGACCGGAAGAGCAATTTCTAAAACCTCTAAACAATCAGTTTCTTCCTAAAATGCTTTTCCACCCACTTTCAATGTTTTAATGTTTGGTTGTGATAGGTTAAGAGACGGATTCTGTGGCACACAGGTTTATTTAACAATAAGGTATATAAGTACGAAATGAGCCATTTGAACCAGTTTATACAGTGATTTCATTCTCATTTTCTGCATATTTACAGTACTGTCTAGCTGCTTGATTTACATTAGAGAATAGTTCCTCATCAATTCAAGTTTAATGCGAGAGAAAAATGCTGCACAAAACTCTCCGAACACAAATCAGCAGTCAAACAATTACATATTTCCCACCACAGGCAAAACAGCTTCAGTACTTAATGACAATTTCTTTAGCATAAAGAACAGACAAAAGCAAGGTTTGAAAATCTGCAAGACAATCACTGGGATTGGGCCAGGTAAAAAGAACATTCTGGCACCTGTGAACAAGTTTCAATGCAAGCTTCTCTTTCACCAGCATGTTGTGTTTGTGTGTGCAATAGGTATCCTAGATCTATACAAATACGTTAATCTCCTTTAGACTCTGCAAGCAGGAAAGAAATTAAGGCTTTCCTGAAGGCAGTCCTTTTGAAAAAAATGGCATATTAGAATAAATTAGCCAGGAACAGGAAAAACTGAGAAACTGGCGAAAAACTTCACAGACAACTTTACAGACTTCGCAACACAAATACAATATTCATCTGCAAAGGTACAAAATAAGGATTTTTTTTTTGTTGTTGTTTTCTGATATTTTTTAAAAAGTCAATTGCAAATCATAAAAGAAAAATAAAATAAACCAGCAAAGACCAGGGCGAATTCTTACAACGCTGGTCTGAACCAAAAATATATTCTTTGTCTTTGTTTTCATTTCAACAGCAATTATTAAATCACTCTGTTTTCAGAAAAAGGAGTTTGTGGTGTAAGGAAAGTTCACAGTCCGTAGGCCTCCAAAGACTTTTTCTAAAATTAGTAAATAGAAAAATCTCAGTGGAAAACTGGAGCGGGCCTTTCTTCTGTCTCAAAATGCTACAATCCTTCAACGAACCTCTCTAGCGTGTCTCCTGTCGTGTCGCCCACCATGTTCATGTCGTTGCTCAGCCCTCCTCGGTTTGGTGTGTTCAGCTGTGGGAGCATTGCGCTTTGCTCAGGCGTTCCCATGTGTCCCTGGTCCATAGAGCCCGACATGGGGCCGAGGCTCGGGTGAGGGGAGCTGGAGTGGAGAGCCCCGTGCTGCGGCGAAGGCTGGGGTTGTATCCGTGGGGAGGAACCGGAATGGGGGGCTTGTTGTGAAGGCGGCCGGGGCGACTGCACCGGAGCCGGGGAGCGGACCTGATTTCCCAGGGTGTTGGCCATGGTCTGACCAGGTAGATGAGCTCCGGTCTGGCCTTGGCCCTGCAGCAGATGAGGTTGAGGACTCATCGGGTTGGCCTGCCCGGGAGAACCCATCTGCTGCTTCATCATCTGATGCTGAAGCATGCGCTGCTTGAGGTGGTTCGGGATCCCTTCCATACCCATGCCGGGCTGGCCCATCTGTGACATGGGAGGAACCGACCCCATCGCACCAGAGCCCCCTTGCATAGCCATCTGCTGATGCGCGCGGAGCTGGGAGAAGCCTGGGGGCCCCTGCTGCTGGGGGGGGAACTGGCTGTGGCCCTGAGGCATGCCGCCCTGCTGCTGCATCTGCTGCATTCGGAGCTGCAGCTGTCTGTGGTACTGAGGGCTTCCGTTTTGAGCCGTATTCATCATCTGGCCTTGAGGACCCATGGGGGGCATGCCCTGGGGGCCCACCAGCTGAGGAGGCTGCTGCTGCTGTGGAGCCATCCCGGTCCTCTGCATTTGGTTCATAGCTGCCATGGCCTGCATACCAGGCTGGGAGCCCAGCAGGACCTGAGGGTTCTGCTGCTGGACCTGTTGCTGCTGCTGCTGTTGTTGCTGCTGCTGCTGCTGCGGCGGCACCACCTGGTTGGCCTGGTACTTGGCCGCTCTCTGTTTGATGAAAGCCGCCATGAGGTGGGGATTGGACTTAAGGATGGTCAGCACCTGCTGCTGTTGCTGTGGGGAGCTTGGAGACTTGAGGGTGTGCAGTAGTTCCTGCACGGCACTTGGCGTAATATTTCCAGGCATTACCCGGGGCATGTTTGGCTGCGGCTGCTGTGTCATTCCCTGTTGCGGGGGGCCCTGAGGAGGCATGACCCCAGGCATTTGGGGACCTGACTGCTGTGGTATCATGGGCCTCTGCATGAGTGGGGACTGCTGAGACATGGGGGTTCCCTGAACTTGCTGGGAGGGCATGGGGCCTTGTTGAGGAGGGACCAGTGGCTGATGGCCTTGGGCATTCTGCATTCCTACACTCCACTGACCCTGCGACACAGCCTGCATCACCTGGGGACCCCGGGAACCCGGCATCATATGCATTTGGTTCTGAATGGGGTTCATCATGCGCGACTGGTTCATGGGCATCCCGTTCATGGTGTAACCCTGCTGCTGCTGCTGCTGCTGCTTTGCCTTTGCCGCCATCTCAATCTGTTGTGCCACTTTCATTGCTGCCAGCAGCTGATGCTGTGGCTGTTGAGGAGGAGGAGCCTGCTGCTGATGCGGCATGTTGGGCATAGGGGACAGCTGCTGAGGGAGCGGCGATGACTGTGGCCCAGGTTTACCTTGCGGCACAGGCGTGGAGGGCTGACTGCTGCGGCCGTTGCTGGGGAACCCTTGGCCCATGTTGCCGGGGTTTGGTGGTGGTTGTTGTTGTTGCTGAGGGTGGTTAGGCATGGGCTGCGGAGTCTGGGGCGTGTTAGGTTGCTGCACAGATGTGGGGGTTTCTGGAGCAGCTGAGGTAGGTGGAGATGGCATAGGCATACCTCTTCCAGCCATGGTGGCCATTCTGCGGCGCATCATCTGGGCCTGCTGCAGCCTGTGCTGCAACTGCTGCTGACGAAGCTTCTGCTTGATGTTGAGGCAGAATGGAACCGGACACTTGTTCTCCTGACAGTGCTTGGCGTGGTAACAGCATAAAGCAATCAGCTGCTTGCACACAGGGCATCCACCATTGGTCTTGCGCTTGCAGCCCTTAGTGTGCTGAACCACCCGCTTCATCTTCTGGCAGGATGCGAGCGAGCAGTTGGCGTTCCTGCACTGACAGGCGTGCACCAGAGACTGGATGCAGCGCTGGATGCTGAGGCGCCGACTCTCCTGAGGACTCTTTGAGGCCTCGCCGCTCTGACTGTTGCTGTCATCGTCGATACCCAGGCCCCACTTCACCATCTGGTGCTCGTGGCCCTTAGTGTTGTAGCAGTTAATGCACAGGTCGTAGTCCTGATGACAGATGAGGAAATGCATGTTAAAATGGAAATATGAGCATTTATCCAGTCTCTAAGCTCTGAAATGTTGTTGCTGCATTTTTAACTTTCTCTCACATTTATCCACAGATAAATTAGGGTCTTACCTCACAAACAGTGCAGTGCCAGCGAGTCTCCACATGGTGCTTGCATTCGTTGCATGTGTAGACAAAGCGGTCCTGGCCCTGGTTGTGCAGCTCCACCAGCATGCACATGGAGCTCCACTTGCATCTTCTGAGTGAGCTGAACTCCCAGTGCTTGTCCCTGGCCAAAGTCAGGAAGGCGTCACGTCCGTCCATGAGGTCACAGGTCAGCAGAGGGTCAGGGTCCATGATAGGTGGGAGGGTGTTGATGACAGGCCCCGAATGGAGGTGAATTACAAAAAACACCTAGAAAGAAAAAAAATATTGTAGCATTTAACAGCTGCTTGGCTCAATTATCTCTTGTAGGGTTCCCATTAAAGTCAACCTAAACTGCAGGTTTCCCACCTCTTTGTGTTTCTCCATGGTGGCGTAGAGTTTTTGAGACAGATCATTGGCTACATTTGGCATACCAGGCTTCTTCTTATTGGATCGGCTGACGCTGCTCTTGTTCTTGTTGGTTTTCTTATTATTCTTCTTTTTGGCATTCTTGCTGTCAGCCTGGACTCCCTAGAAGGGCAAACATCAACATTTTGGAAAACAGAGTCAAACCACGGTTGTGTAATTAGGCTGTGTGGGTCTACATTAAGCCAACACTTTAGGGTGATGAAATCTTTAGTGCTCAGCTGATGGCATAAAACAAAGAGCTCATCAATCCAGCCATCTAACATACCTCTGTTGTCTCAGAGGAGGCAGTGTTCTCCTCTTTCTTTCTCTCCTCCTCTTCCTGCTCCAGCTCCTTAATGCTCTCCTCCAGTACATTAGGCCAAAAGTCGCCCTCAAAGTATGGCAACTCGTTGGCACTGGTCAGTCTGTCTTCTGTTGCCTGCTTGAAAATGTCCTGGACAGAAACACAGCAACTTCTTATCTTAGGCAACGGAGAAGCAAAACCACCACATCAGAGAAATCACTTTGTTTCCATTATTGTCATATTTGTGCTTGAACTGCATTTTTTAAACTGAAATGAACTCTAAAGAAGGCTTATACTCTACAGGCACAAATGTCATGGGTAACCAAAATGGGTTGTAAAAGCATAAAATATTAAAAGCATAAAAAAGGACAAACTTCCTGTTGAAAATAACCACATTCATTATAGAGACTGAGAATGTGCCCGTTTGCCACAAAGCATACAACATAAAAAAAGAAAAAAGTTATTTTAATACATATATTTTTCCATTATACCAATCTTTGCATTACAGCAAAAACAGGGTGAGTTTTTTCCGATTTGTAAATTTTGCTCATTATCTGTTTTTCCACTTGAATTAGCTCCACTTACACATTATTCCCAGAGATTTAATATGAAATGTTTAAAAGTTCAGATAAAATGCTCATGAAAACTATATTCTTGTTGAATGGGGCAATGTTAACAATGATTACTATTATATTGATTGTTGATAAAGACTCAGGCCATTTTTTTATGTTTATGTTTAGGCACAGTCACCAACTTTCCTCTTATTTCTAAAGACAAACTCTTCAAACTTGCTTCACAACAGAAATTTCCACACAGCTTTCTAAAATCCATTGTTTTGTATTAAAAGTCTCAAAGTGAATTATCTCTGTCCAAGTAAACTTTTTTTTGTTTGTTTTCTAACCTTGTAATCATGAATGATCCTCTCTGCAAACGCCTTGTCAAGCATCTTCCTGTACCACTCCTGCAGCCTTTTGGGTTTAGGGATCTTCTGATCCGGAGGGTGGCAGTGGAAAATATAATCATCTCCTTCACTTGGCGGGCAGGCCCAAATGTGACCCATTACATACCTGCTCAGAAAATACACAATGAGCACTACACTCCTTTATGGGATAGGTGGTAGGTGAAAAACAAAGGGTGCTTGGACTTACCCAAGTTTCCTCACATACTCCAGGTAGCCTATCAAGATCTCGTGGTACACTGCAGTCCTTAGCACACGTGGCTTGAAGAAGTGAACACTGTCGAGGTATGATATGTAAACCCGTCTGAAAGGAAAAACAGGGGAAAGCATTACAAACCTAAATAAAATGACAAATTAACATGACATCTGTCAAGATTTTTATTGAACTGTAGCATTACCTTGTGTTTGGAAAAGGGCAATCTGAGCCATACTCTTGTACATGCATGCCGAAGAAACAAACGTCAACGCCGTCGATTTCCTCGAATGCAAAAAGTGCTTTGGTTCTGTAAGGGAAGCTCGCCACCATCTCACCGGAGTCTACAAACCTGTGGACGCAACAACAAATCCTTAGCCACAACAATGCAAACAAAAAAAGAAAGGAAAACACAATGCATACAAGATCAAAGTGCAATGTAATTTATCCAGCTGGGGTGTGAGCTGCCTCACCTAGACTTCATGCCAGGCTTAATATCCACAGTTTTATCGGAGCTGGCGACTACTCGCACAAACACTTCACCAGCTTCTGGGTGGTTCTGTCTTTTTAAGTACTTGTTTACTCTGTCTTCAATGTACGTCCCCAACCTTGTAGTCTGCAACCCTAATAAAGCAAAAACAATTTAAAAATTAATTCAGATCAATTTAGTGGGAAAATATGAACCTTTTTCTTTTTTCATCAAATGTTAAACTCACTTTTTGCGGAGAACTTGTTCTCCTTCCTTGTTTTTCCAAATTTTCTCAGGCAATTATCACACACGAAGCTGGAGACAAATCAAAGATTTGGTCAACCTGCAAGGCTTTTGGAAAATACAGCGCCTTGCAAAAGTCAATTGATTTTTGTCAGATAATGAGTAGGGCATAATAGTTGGTTGATGCTTTTTTTCTGTAACCAATAAAATGCTGTAAATTGTGGTGAACATTTATATGTGGTCATCCTCCTGCAGCTAAATGTTTCTGAAGATTCTTCTCTGTAAATTACCCAAAACTAAGTCACATTAGACAGAGAGTGTCTGTGAATGGCCATTTTCAAATCCTTCCACAGACTGTCCAATAGATTTTGGCCAGGACTTTGACTAGGCCAGTATCAAACATTAATCCAATTTGATCTAAACTATTCTAATGTAGCTCAGGCTATATGTTTAGGGCCACTGCCCTGCTGATGAAACGTCCTAAACAATTTTCTTTCAATATTTAACAAAACTGACCAGTTGTCATCTCCATGGTGTCGCCACAGCGTGATACTAACAACACCTTGTTTTGCTGGGGAAGCTATTAAAGGAACTAGAGATGTCAGAGTAAAAGGGTGAATAAATGTCTAAAGAACTCTGCTTGTTTGTCTATCACATAAAATTGTCAATAAGGTCGTAGTTGGGAGTATCAATATGTTTATTAAGAGCATATTTTCTGTGTTTTAGTCACAATGTTGTAGAACAAAACTCACCCAGAGGGCCAAATGACATCGTAGTGCAGCACACAGATCTGATGCATTTTTCTTCCACAGTCTTTACATTCAACAAACCTAAAAACAGACAAACATATTTCATTTTCACCAAAAGCTACAGTGAAACATTTCACTCAAATACTGTTGAACTTCTTGTACTGGCCACAGTCCACTCACGGTTCCGGGTCCAACGTATCATTTTTCTTCTTTTCAAACTGATCTTTAGATATTTTCCTGCATGGAAGAGAACATAGAAATATGTTGACGTTCAATCAATCAATCAATCAAATTTTATTTGTATAGCACATTTCAGCAGCAAGGCATTTCAAAGTACTTTACATCATAAACACAAAAACACAAAGTCATGCATCATGGAATAAACAATACATTGTTACATATTACATTTCAAATACAATTCTAAACAGGTGTGTTTTTAGTTGAGATTTAAAGGAAGTCAGGGCTCATATGAGACAAAAAGATGAGCCAAAGCAGGTCTTCAGGATTGGGCCACTCACGTCTGCGGTTGTGCCGGGTCGTCCCCCAGGTTAACACTGTTGCCCTGGATCTCATTGAAGCACTTCTCACAATAGTGATACCTGTCGGCAATAAGGCCATATTTGGGTGAACTGCAGCCAGCACACACAGTAGCAGCACAGGTGGGAGAGTGCAGAGCGAATGGAGCACAGGGCAACAAGGACGGACCGAGCATGGGCAGATAGACGGACAGATAGATGAACGGACAGACGGACACACACAGGCAGAGGTACAAGTTAGTCTCAACTGAATTGGTCATGATTCAGCGACTCATGCAAACTGGAAAAATGATGAGGAAGGCAAAAATACTAAAAACTGTACGTTAAGGAAAAAGTTGTCAAAAAACGAGAAATTATTTCAAACAGCATGCTGGTGAATGGACACTTTCACTGTAATGGTTTATGACATGACAACATGCACCAGGGATGGTGGGAATGAATATCACGATGGTCAGAAGGGGCAATGATGCATTAACAAATACACAAGCTTTTATTTCAAACTAACACAGACACTTTTCATCTATACATGCAACCTTTATGTAAAGACTGGCTAAAGGGAACATTACATTTTAACAGAATTACATTGAAAGCAGATAGGTTAAACAATGATTCATGTAAATCTGTGGAAAATACTGGATATTAAGATGTCAAACATCAAAGTATTTACAAGAGCAGGAAACTGTATTGTGTTGCACTGAGGTGCAGCAGCACATTCAGAACAGAAGGGGGCGCTTTGGTGCCAGATTCTTGTGAAAGTAAACCTTTGAACTGAGCAGACTGATAAAGAAAGATACCAGCCCATGGTGTCTGCAACCCTCCATTATACGCTCATTACCTGAGGTTCTTCGGGGGGTGTAAAGTGTAGAGATGTTTTCTAAATTTTTACAAATATCCAAGTACTGCCCCCCCCCCAACCAGTGTAATAACACCCTCCTACCTGTTCTGGTAGCTGTAGTAGGTGCTGTCTCTGGAGATGGTACACAACTGTTTGCCGTAGCAACAAAGCGTCTGAGGTGAAAACTCGTACTGTTGACAAAAACAAGAAAATAAACTGTTATTGTCCAGAAACCTCTGAAAGATTTTATCTGCAGTCATGGAAATATGGAATGTTTTGGAAAAGTAATCACACTAGAGCTGGGTCAAGTGGACGAAATAAATCACAATATTTTCCCCAGTATTGAACAATTTTGAATTTTTATTGTGATATAGTTTCAAATGAACAATCCGGTACCTAATTTAGTATGTCCCTCATTAAAAGCAAAGAAATATTTTAAATAAAACATTATTTAGTAAATAAGCTAAACTGCATCATTTCTTTAAGCATTGGGGGGTGTTATGAATTGCAAGTCCACTTCCTCAACTAGAAAAATATTGACCAACAAAACCTGCAAGCTTAAAGTGATGAAAATCAAGTTGACAGTTTGAAATACGGCATCCATCTTGTATGAGTGCTTTCAAATAATATCTCCATGCACTGCCTGAAAGGCCACGTGTATTTATTGAATTTTTAAGCATACATTTGTATATTTTCATTTCAGTTGCTCTGTAAAATGTTGAAATTGCTCAGCACTCACTTCCATGCTCTTAAAGTTATTCCAACTCCAACCACAGACTTTTTTTATTGGCTCAGATTCTGAATCAGATTTCATTGTGGATTTTGACTAAGCTATTCTTAAAGCTAAATATAGTTTAATCTAAACCACTGCGACCTATTTTTTCCTTCCACCTTGCATTGTTTTTTTTTTTGTTAATTTATCACAAAATCTGTAATACAACAGATTAAATATATTCATAATTTCAAAGAGTTATGGGAATATAAATCCTTCTTCAAAGCACGGCAGGTGTGAAGATGCTTTTAATAAAAAGCAAAGCACATAGGCATATCTGTGGCGTTGTGTTGCAGTCTCACCTTCCTGCCACAGCAGTAGCCCAGAACTTGCATGACTGGATCAATCTCTGCTTCAAACACCTCAGCCAGCTTGGTGCAGTACTTGTAGACGCGTGACGTTTTGCGGTTGTACAGCCAGGCGTTGTTGAACATGAGCCAGATGTCGTCCACGTACTGCCATGGCTCCTGGTACTGACCCGTGTCCAGCTTACGTTTGATGGTGGATAAGTCGATGGGGTTCTTCACTATGTCAAAGTAGTCCTGCAGGAAGAAGGGTGTGACAAGGATCCCAGTTCTATCTGTGTCTGTGTTTTGGAATAAATAAGTTTGTTCAGAAAATTGCTGACACTTACAGGAATGCCGAGCACCATGGGGTCTACAGGTTGCCTGAAGGGTAGGGACTCAGGGTCTTGTCTGTAGAGGGCCTCAAGAGTGGGCATCAGTGCTTGTCTCAGCTCCTCTGGCTTGAAAACTGGATGGAAAACAACTCTTCAGTGGAACTAAATAACAGCTTTCTTAAGTCAGCGTAAACATTTATGTACACCAGTGTTTTCCAGTGGAAACAAGCAACAATCAGGATTTATTTAGGCTTTTAAGGCAATTTAGGTTGGGTAAAGCCTTTAATAGTTGCAGTAATACTGCTTAAATGTTCACAAATTCCAAAATGCGTGTTTAATGATATCAGTTTAATCTACTACTATTTAGTCCAGGTTTAATCAGTTGGAGTATTTTAGATAGTGATGAAACCTAAAGTTCTTAAACGCTAATAAACTCTAAAGTTTTGTCCTGAAATTAATGCCGACCTTAACTTGTAAGCAGTAAAATGTCATTACAGTCTCTACCATTAATTATGAGGGTTTCAGATGGATGTGCACTGAAGAGCAACAATTGGAAAAAGTGCTCAGCTTTATGTTGCCTATTTACTAACAGAAACATTGCCTTGGTGCGTTGCTTTTGTATCAATCTTTAGATTGATATTTCTACAGACTAGATTTTTCGAGTCAATATAATAGATTACGTTGAACCGCTGCAGTTCTAATATGATTCAGAATCTTTATCTGTACTCAAATTTGTGTATTTAACACATTTTAATAACAGTTTAACCACAGGGGGATTGTATCAGATCTGGGATTTCCTGAAAAATCTGAAATCTGGCTTTTTGTCACTCAGCAAACTGGTCATTCCTGTACTGATGAAAACAATCCTCACAGAGGTTGCAGTGACTGAAACTGGTCCTAAAATGTTAATATTATCCACAAATAAAACATCAAAGTGGATGAGTGATCTTACTTTTCTTGCGGTTCTGAGCAGTGGAAGTGGCTGATGTGCTGTTGGACGCACCGTCCTCCTCTTCTTTGGGTTCCACCTTTACCTCTGGCTTCTTCTCGTCTGTCTCCATCGGTTCCTGCTTTGGTTCTGCTGCATCCGTTTCCTCCTTCTTCACCAGGGAGGGTTTGGTTTCATCGTCCTGCTGGGTAACAAGAAATAAAACCCACATTTACCTTCATAGCTTTCCTCCAATTCCTTTTAAATACAAGGTAAATAAATGTACATACTTCCATCTTTACATCATTTTGCTTTTTCCCAGACTTGCTGTCCTCCTCTTCCTCTTCTTCCTCCTCTTTGACTTCGGATTTGACCTCAGAGCTGCTCGTGTCAGGCAGGGCCTGCTGGGAGCTCAGTTCAGCCACAGAGCCAGGAGTGGGTACTCTGTTATCGATACCAGCAGCAGCCTGGGACAACTTCGAGGAGTTAAAGAGACAAAATGATCACTACACTAATAATTTTATCAAATAAGGACGAATGATGTGAAGATTTAAAAAGACCAGCCAGGAAGTTGAATTTAAGTCAGCGGTGGTATAAGCAGGGTTTGTACACTTTTCCCACAGCAAAATTTAAGAACTTTCCAAACATTTTCAAGGTATGTTTTCAAAATTCTTCTGCTTTGGAGATAAAAACAAATTAACTAAAAAAAAAAAACTGTTTCACTATTATATCACTTCAATTATTATTACTATTATTAATGTTTTGTGAAAGTATTCCACAGGAAAAAGATATATGAAAAAAAATAAAATTTTACATTTTAAAATGTTTCTCACACACAGCCTAGACACCTGACTGATGCAAAAACAAAACACTAACACCTGAGAATTTCAATAATTAACAGAAAATTTAAGTCAAAGTTAATTTCAATTACATTGACCAATACGTCCTTGAGCCATTAGGAATAATAAATATTTGTTACATTGACAGAATCCCAACAAACCTTAAGCCTTCCTGCTTATATGTAAAACTTAAAAATAACTTACAAAGAAAGTCATAAAAAAAAAACTTTTAAAAATATAAATAATTTTAGTCATTCTAACTGACCTAAGCCAAGAAACGTTTGGTCTCATGTAACATCAGACAATGAGGAAAAACATGTTTGTATGGTTTTATGAGGTGTATAAAAATATCTAAGTAATGATTTCCAAGTTTAGGCTGTTAAACCTAAACTTGGATTCAATTGCACTTTATTACAAAACTATACTGTTCGAAATTTGAAGGACATAATACAGAAATCAAGAACATCCCAAACCTTGAAAATACAAAATTGAAATTTAAGCATTTTCAGGAATTTTAAGTGCAAACCCTGTAAGCCAGTTTTTAGCATTCAGGCAGAACAAGGATCTCACCGGTGTACTAGGGTGCTGAGGCTGCACAGAGGTGGGCTGCTGCACCTGGCTGGGGGGCTCAGAGGGAGGCTGCAGGGGTGTCAGAGGCTGGGAGGGGTCAGGGGGAGTGCTCAAAGCTGCAGGGGGGCGAGGAAGGCTACTTGGAATGTGGGTTGGGGTGGACGGGGGTCCTACTGCAGAGCCAGGAGTGGAGGGCTGCGGCGGCACCTGGGCCTGTGTGGGAGCATGCTGCTGCTGCTGCTGGCTGATGCTGGGTGGAGGGGGCGTGCCCCGGGCGGGTTGGTTGGAGGGTCCAGAGGGCAACTGAGAGCCCAGTGCATTCAGAGGGAGGTTAGAGGTTTGTTGTTGCTGGGGGAAAAAAAGGGAAGCTCACTATTAGCATTGCCTGATATTTATTGGGCAGACGACTAGTTTCATCCAACTTCACAGATCATCTCACCTGTGTGACGGCAGCCTGTGGAATAGTCTGACCCATGCCCATATTCACATTCATGGCTCCACCTGCAGCACCAGGATACTGACCCTGCTGCAGGTACTGGCCTTGGGGGGCTGGTTGAGACATGCTATTAGCATGATTACCCATCATGCCTTGGTTCAGGGGCATCCTGGATGGAGACATGCCCAGCTAGAGAGTGGTAGAGATGACACAAACACATCAGAAAATCAACAAATGGATTTTTATAGAAAATGTAGACTACACCGCTAGAACCATGACCAAAGAACACAATATTCAATAAAAACAAAATTTTAAATAAACTGTATTAAAATGCAGAGGAGGAAATCAGTTTGAGATTTTAATGAAGTTATCATGAAGGAAAAAATTTAATGTTGAAGGTTATTCTTTTTGAATGGATCTGTATAGCTTAAATACAAATTATCACTATTATGAATTATTTATCATTGCTAAAAATAAATTGAGGCTTCACTTTCCTTTGTTTCTTTAGAACCAGGACAAACTTTTTTCTTGATTTATCAAAAAATTTAGCAAAACGTTAATGGAATGTGTTTTATCATATTTGGAGTATTGTTAAGTAATATCACTCCCTTAATATAAATGCAATGTCTTTCTTTAGTCAAATCAAACACTATGAATATAGAAAAGTCCAAATCTACCAGATTCCAGGAAAGGCCCAAAAAATCCCATTTAAAGTAATTTATCTTTTCTCTTTTTTCCAAATTATCTCTCTTTTTTTTTTTTTTTTTAGATCACAGCTCCCACAACTATTACTACCCATTTGTTCTTAACTAAAATTAATTTTATTTCTACTTGATTTTTTAATCTTTATTGTTTTTAAGTATTATATTGTCACTAGTCTGTAACATCTCATTTCCTTGGCATATGAATATGAGGGGAGTCTTCAAAATAGGAATAGTAAGAGAACATTCAATTCAAATAGAGCAGATGATACAAAATAGTAGATGCCAACAAGAACATTCCCTCCTCTACAGCTGGAGCTGCAGTGGGAAAATTTAAACCACCAGAAGTTTGAACAGCCTTAATTAAAGGCAAATTACAACATTAACAAGACACTTTCGACCTAATGTATCAAAAGAACTGAAAAGGGGATTTTTGCAATGTGGAATAATAATTGTAAAAGCTGGGAAACCAATCTCACCACGGAGTTCATGTTCATCTGCTGCGAATGGCTCATTGGGGAAGGAGCCCTCGCTCCCATGGGTGCCTGAGGCATCTGTGCATTCTGCATCACCATAGGGTTAAACTGACTGATTCCTGTGGGAACATATTTATGTACAATTACATACCTCTTCAGGGGAGTTGATGTAATTTAATATTCGATGCACAAATGGGCTGGCAGGGACACTAAAGCAACTAACCGAAAGAGTGGTTCAACAATCTCAGCCTTTACTAAACAGCTTTATTAACATAGTGTTTACACTCTGATATAAATTAGAAACACATGTAACAACTTGATAGATATACCTTGATCCACCTGCATACGGTTCATCATCTGATTTGGCATGTTGGGCATTGTTGAAGGTCCATCTGCAGGGAGGTAAGACAGAAATATGCTTTATTAAAAGTTGCTTTTAGTATCAGGAAACAAAGTGAGTAGCTTTAACCAATAAACCAAGGTGTTAGGGGTTGTTTGTACTAACTCGGAGGTCGAACGGGCTGTGTAGGGCCCATGCTGTTGGGCTGAGCCATACCAGACTGCTGGGGTCCCGGCGCGCCCACCATGATGGGCTGTTTTTGCAGACGCGAGCGTCTCTTCTCCTCTAGCTCCTTCTGGATCTTATAAATTTTTTCTGCTAGGAAGTGGTAATACTCATCCTAATGAGATGGACAAGAAAACCACGAGACCAGAAAAGGTTAAAAAAAACAAAAACAATCATTGAGTTGAAATGATAAGTAAAACAACCAAGAGTATCATCATACCCTGCTGTTTGCTGACTCATACATGTCTCCCTCAACTTTGCGTGCGTAAGCCACTAAGTTCTCCATTCGCCTGTCCTTCAGAGCTGCAGGGTCTGGGGTTGGGAATATGGCTTGTACTCTGCAGGACGAGAAGCTGAGTTTATCTGCTGAACAACAACATATTCTACAGACACACCTCCTTATGTAGTAGACTTACAGTTTGTGCACCAGATGGGAGCGCAGGCCCTGAGTGACATGTTCATGCCAGGCCTTTCTTACCCCTGTAGCAGAGAGAGGGGTGGCAGCGGGGAGGTTTCCCATACCTTCTACCTCTGATCCATCTGGCAGCAGCTGCCTGCTGGACAGAAAAGGTTTCTCTTTAGGCTCATTTCATGAAAGAAGCGGAATATGGACAGAGACCATATTCTGTAAGGATTGAGTCAACTGAGAAATGATAGGACTCACTTGTTGAGTGAAGAGGGGAGCGATGAGTCGGAGAGCAAGCCCGTCTGATCCGAGGAATGGCTACCCAGGCCTCCTGCCATCTGGTTCATCTGACTAGTGCCTGATATCAACACACATTAACAAAAGTTTACATACGAGCACAGCAACTGAACAGTTTTGGTAAAAAAAAAAAAAAAAAAATGCAGCTAAAGGCATTTTGGTTTCATACCGAGTTGGTTCATATTTCGTAGCTGCTGGTGTGCCTGGGGGTTCTGCTGAGCTGGACCCTGACCCTGGACCTGAGCAGGGGAATGGTTCCCATATGGGAGGCCCAGAGCTGCATAGGCCCTCTGCATAGAGCTGGGGTCAATGTGTGTGGGAGCGCTGTTCATGGCTGTGGCGCTCGGCTGGCCGGGTCCGACTGTACTGTTGGCATTCTGCAGGCTGGGTACGGGAGAGCTCAACATGGCTGGAGAGAGAGATTAACACACCCACTGTTTAGTAAGACTGAATAAAAATAATTATTATGAGGTTATTAAGTACATAAGCAAACTTTGTAGTTTGTAATTTAAAACCTACAAATGGTTAAAAACAAAAAAAAGAAAAAGTGAGTTAGAAAACTTTGCATCTTGTGCTTTTGTTTGCTTATTCATTAAAATTTCAAAAATAATGTTGCTAAATGGTTAATATCATTTTGAATCAGACGGAATTTCCAGATAATTTAATTTTATCTGCAATTATACATATTTCAGATAAAAAATAAAAGCATATTAGAGCCATCTCCGGCCTTTGTATGTTTTTAATTATTGAAACATACATAATAATGAATATAAATGATTTATTCAGTGGGAAAAAGAAGTTTTTAAAAAATAGAGTAAAAATTTGAAATTGAATTATGAAAAATTTGCATATTTTTGGCTTTGTTGATTGTTAAAAAAAATAATGCTAGCAAATGATTAGTTTCCACATATTAAATCTGCAATTTTATTAAATGAACAAATAATAAATAACATAAAAATTAAGAAGTTAAAAGACCTATAAGTACCAAAACATCTGGCATGAATGCATTTTTGTCTGCTCTTAATTATTCAAAAATCCCAAGCAAGCAAAAGGTTAAAATCCCAATATTACTTAATAAGTGGAAAAAATATATAATGTAACAAAATCACTAAATTAAACTAAGTTTATCAAATGAAAAAAATTGCATCTTTTTCTTGTATCTTCTCTTGCTAAGCATGTTTTATTTCAATAATTATTAAAGTAAAAAAATTTAAAAATGAAAGAAAGTTAGAAAGATATAACACTCCACACGGAAACTTTTCTTCTTTTGACTACTTTAGTCATGTAAATAATTTTAGTGAATGAGTAATAACATTTAAGAATGTATTTAAAAATAATAATAAAAATAAAAAAACAGAAAATGGCAGCTGAAGAAGGTCTCATGAAAAACCAGTGTAGCTCCCTGCTGTGTTGATTGCTGACAGTGAGCATGCTGCCTCTGTGGGGGATTTAAACCTGTCATAGTGGCTTTTAACCAATTAGAAAGCATGCTGTCCTGAGACCCTGCCCCCTCTAATAGCAGAGCCATCAAGCCCCTCCCTTGGTGTCACATTACAGGCCCTCCCTTTCTAGAGGAATCCTCTCACCATTGGAGCTCTGAGCTAGCAAGCCAGCACAGTTGTGCAGCAGGAAAACTCTGCCTGCAGGTGGCACCACTTCATGATACACTCACTTCCTTGAGGCTCACTACTGTTTGTTAAGCACTTCTTAAAATATTTTAACAAAAGCAACAGAGCAAACGTTCCTCGAGTTACTTACGCTGCTGATTTCTCTTGTCACTTGCATTCTTTAAAGGCAAGCAGACCGGGCAGTCGTGCCGCGTACAGTTCTTCCAGTGAGAGATGATCTGTCTGGATGATGCACAGTGAGCCACTGAAGAAAAATGAAAGCACACAGTAACTCTCAGTGAGAAGAATTAACAAATAAACCAACACACTGAAATAATCCTGAAAATATGTGAAATTAGCAATAAAAAATTAAATAATCAACATGTTGTAAAACCATGAATGAACCTTTTAATTAATTTAAACAACTCAAACAGCATAAACATTAAAGTTCAAAGTTCATAGACCCTTGGTGTTTGATGGGGACCAGTGTAAACATATTAAATGTAAAACAACCGTTCTTCCAGCTGTTTAAAATGATTAAATTAATGTTTGCTGATGTTGTCAGTCACTAGGATTCAGCCAGTCAGCTGAGGTAACCGGCTCCATTAAAGCAATAAAACACAGACGCACAGACGTTTTGCTATATACTCTGGGAAGTGGGGTAACTGCCTAGAAATTACACAAAACAGGCATCAAATAACCCTCCTTCAGCATCTGTGCTCAAATCACTTCACACAAAAAATAACTGCTTTCTGCATCTTCTCATTTAAACAAGACACGCACAGCAGCCGTTTTATTAGGCAAGTTTACCGGTGTAATCACTTGTTAGAGCAAAAAGTCAATCTACGGTAGCACCTCTGTTCATTAAGGCATCTAGACGTGGAGAAGAAGAAATCAAACGATGGACATTCTCAAGGGAAAACACACTGACAACACTGTTTTAGTAATGGTAGCCATGCTAATTGCTCAAACCTAATAACAACTAGCAAAAATATACGTCAACTTTAGTTTTTGGCGTTTTTAATATTAGTAAATGTTTATTATTGTAATTTTTTACTCACCCTGGCAGGACTTGCCAGCTTGGCAGTGAGTCATGTGGTTGAGTACGTTCTTCATGGTGCGGCAGTGAGGCAGCGTACAGGCCCTCACTTCTCCATTGGCCTGTTCCCGCCGTTGGCACTTGTGCGCGTGGAGCAGCAGGACCAGCTGCTGCTGAATGAGTTTTCGTTTCTCGGGGTCAGCAGTCGGCCCTCCAGATACGCCGCCGGCCCCCGGGACCATGCCCATCGATGTTACCTGCTGCTGCATCTGGGCCTGCAAGGGCATGCAGACAGACATGGTTATTACAATACGCCATTGTCAAATGTTGCTAATTTCAAACTTTAAAAGTGTGTAAAAAGAAAATGATGTGCATAATAAAACACAAGAATTAAAACTTGAGGTTTGGCATTCGCAGTTTAACGAGAGAAGCGGTTAAAAATAAAAAAGGATCAACACAAAAAGCATAGAAATTGAAGCAACAACAAAAAATAAACTGTAAGTCTGATGTATCATTATAGTAGCAATGTTCATTCCTAGAAATTGAGGAAATGACCCTTAATTCCAGAAAAGGTCAGAATTAAAAATCACCAAATTTTCTGTTTTCTTCATATTTAAATTGCTCTCAGTGAAGCCAGTGGTATGAAATAAATCAATGAAGTGAACAATTGAGGTTTCTACACCCCAATTTTAACTACAGCTGTATGCAGACATTGTGAAATTAAGCTGTTGAGCAAAAAGAGGAGTACCACTTAGCCACACTTTAATGAATTAATTGGTCATTTTAGTCTTAGTTTGAAATGACCAACAGAGCTGCATAAATCCTGCATTTTGTTTTGAGAATTCTTAAAACCTATAGCTTATATTTGAAAGAAATTATAAAATAAATAAAACCAACGCTGTATTTCTTTTCTTTTCTACAGCATTAAAGAATGACTTCAGAAAAGCAAATCAGACAACAGGCAGAAGGTCATGTAGAGGCTAAAACACTCACCATGTTTGGCACATTCCCAGCTCCCTTTAAGTCAGCAGGGAATGGGGGCAGGTTGTTAGGAAGGGCCGACTTGTTCTGGAGTTGTTGGGCATTGACCCCTGCTGTCCCCACCTGCTGCACCCCGACCTGGCCATACTGCTGGCCGAACGTAGCTCCTGACATCATCTACAGAGAGCAAACAGGAAAATGGCTGGTCACAAGCCGAGTCTCAGCATAGCATAGTTTCTCCATTCTTGTCCAAACATCCGACTGGTTAAAATTGAGGAGCTTGGCTGGCTTTCTCTCACAACAAAATAGAACTCCTTAAAAAAAAAAAAAAAAAAAGATTTTAGGATGGCTACATTTACTCAAACTGCCAAATTTTGGTCATGTGCAATGAAGTGGAAGTAAGCTAAACCTATCATCCATGATGGAACATTTCTGAACTCTGATATTCTTTTAATTTCAGCTGTGTCAGGGGTGCCCAAAGTCGGTCCTTGAATGCCAGCATCCTGCATGTTCTCTCTATGGTGACAGCAAAAACTTTTTCAGCATGTCAATGTACTTCTTTGGCCTTCTAATGAGCCATCATTGGATCCATGTGTGTTAAACCAGGGAGAGCACTGGGTGCTGGCACTCAAGTACCGACTTTGGGCACCCCTGACCTATGTCATTGTCTAGTAAGAAATATACACAATTGTGCAATTAAATGGTGGCAACTTAAGGGGAGTTGGTGGGATTTGTACTGATAGAAGTGAATCAAATCTCCCAACATCATTTCAAAAGAAGGGCTGTGGTAATATCATCTACCAAAAACAACTGTAACATACCAACTATATTAAGCATAAGATATTTCTCCATTTTTATTTTTCACTAATAGCTCATAATGCAGCTAGCACACTAGTGAATAATTATTTCAACTTACTAAAACCTAAATACATTCTCTTTAGCTGTGGTTGCATGTTATTAGGAAATATAGCATTGAGACAATTTCATTCAGAGTGCAATGATGATGCTGACTGCCATTAACCCACAGTGACTTATCTTAGGTCCTCTCCACACAGGGATGTTACCTAACTGGTTGTAAGTTTCAAAAATACCCATGTCAACACGAAAACACAGAGACCATCCCAAAACAGACATGTACATAAAGTCTGAACACCAGATTAGAAGTAAACACCACAAGAAAACAAGAATGCCAAAGATGCAAAGCATCCCATCAAAAATACTTTTGAGCGTTTCTCCTACCAACATCCCAAAAAGATCAAGGTTCAAAGTTATGACGTATATCTAAAATATGTAAATAATGCCGGATGCCACATCGTTTCTATCCCTAAGTGGTCGCTCCTCTACTTTCAGCTCGCTATTGTGAAGTTATGAATTTTATAAAAGCTGGATGAAAACACACGCTTCATACACTGTCATCGATGCTAACACACTGCAGATCATGTGCTTCCATGCTGGTGAATACACACAAACAGAAAACAAGTTGCAAAACCTTGCAAACAAAGCAAGCATATCTGGGTCTTATTAAACAAGCTCAGATTAATTTTGATGGAAGCACTTCCTTTCCTGTGAGAAGCAGCAGGAGCAAGTCTCAGGTACAAACATATAATCTAGCCCAAATGCTTCATGCCCTGCCCCTGACAAACAGTGAAAATCCAGTCATCACTGAATAAAAGGTTTTGACCTGGCTTGGCTGACGGAGGGGAAACGCTCCCTTTGGCTGTATAAGACTGAGCTTTGTAAAGAAATATATACACGAAAGAGAGAAAGAAAGAGAGAGAGAGGGAGAAAGAGAGAGAGAGAGACAGTAGACAAAGACTGAAAAGCGCAGAGATAGAATCAGGCAAAATATGAGAAAAAGACATAAATATGAAGATAGATTAAAAAAATATATAGACATGAAGAGAAATGTGTAAATACAGTAGAGACGATGAATTATGAAGATTTTCACATTTGTCTTCCTTAGGAATATTCTGTTGAACATGTAGACATATTAGACATGTTCAAGTACTTCCTCAGTCGCTGTTAAATGTGTTTAGTTTGTATTTATGGCTGTTACCTTGATTACATCAAACAATTTCTCTACAAAGTGATTGCTGCTATTAAATGAAAACAATGAAAAAATTACCTGTCTAGGTTATTTTTGTCTTTGCAGAATCCCTGCCCCTAAGACAAAAGTACCAGGGGAAACACTCTTCTTTTCACTAAATCCAACATAAAGCCTATTTTGAAGTGTCATAATAAGTTTGGTACCCTTGTACACACGTCAGATAGCAGCCTAACAAAGGGGGAATTTCCCAATTCAGAAGCTTAATATTGTGTTTTCTTTGGTATCAAATTCATTCTTCTCAACAGGCATTAAAAGATGGTCAACAAACTGAAATTGTTTCCATTTTCTAAATGCAGAAATAATGTGAAGTAATCTGTTTTCATTTTTCAAAATCCAACATTTACATACATTTCTTCAATATTTGACAAATAAAATAGGGACCAAATTAACATTTTTCTGTCCAAAAGTCATATTTTGGCATTATGCTTATGGTCCGTGTCACATTTACTCCGAATCTTTTAACTTCTTGAAAATGTCTGGAGATTTTGCTATATTATTTTCACCTCATGTTATTTGTATAGCACTAGACTGGTTCACAAAACAATTCTTATGTATTTTAAAGTTACTGTTCCATTTCTATTTAATATGAGGAACAAAAGCTTTTTGCCGAGAGATTTGTTGAGCAGTGCCTCCATAAAAATTAGCTTGTGTTGCTAACAGTTAAAGGCATGCTGAGCCTCCTTACTTGTTGGCAGGAGGTTCAGCATTTTTCTTTCTCAATTAAGCTTTTCTATAATTAGTTGTTCAAAATGTAAGGATTATGTATTTTCTTCAATAACTGGAAAAAACTAAAGGCACATGGAGCTGAAATCTATGGGAGAAAAACAGTCCAAAAGAACAGCAGTGGATTGCTGCTTTTATTTTTATAAATGAATTAATTCAACAAATTTAACAGACGTTCCTGGCATAAACGTCTGTTAAAGTCCCGACTTTCTTCTTCTGCCGTGGCTTAAGCGGCCCGACAGAGCAAGCCCTGCCCAGTCTAAAGAAAAACGGTACGTGACACACAGAGAAAGACCAGCTTGCACAACAAATGAGCACTGCACTGCTGCCTGCCTGCCTGCCTGCCCCTCCCCCTCCCCTGCACATAAAACCCGCAGATGCTTGTCTGCCTCTCATTCACACATCCAACCTCTCCTACCAATGGCTTCTCCCACTTGATGAACTGCCTTTATCAGGGGATTGTCGGCGGGGAAGAGGAAGGCAACACAGCAACCGAAAGCCTCCAGTACCTCCCCTCCCTCAGCTTGTGAGCCTCATTTCTTCAAGTGTTAATAATAAACTCTTACAATACGTATAAAACTTTGCATGTTCATTATCCTCAAATGTTGGGAACTTCCTAATCAAGTTCTTCAACTTAACCTAACCATTTACCTCCATAGAAGGACAGATCAAATGGACAACTGAAAGTGATTAACAATAAAATGTTGTATTTTACACATCGGTCTTTGACCATTTCAAACATTAGAAATGGCTTCAGTTTACTCAGATTTTTTTTTTATTTCTTCAAAAATTGTTTTCATAAAGAAAAGAAAGAAAACTTCAGTCTTTTCAATTTCAAAAAGCAGCCAAGAACACAGGCTGCACAATGTTTTAAACATTTTTGACACTTTTATGCAATCTGCCAAGTAAATCAAGACGATGCTTTGGTCTCGCGCCATTTGCAGCAGTTTTTAGTTGTTCCACAGTCATTTCATTTTCAGATTATAGACTGACTCTGTGAGATGTTCTGACCTCGTTTAAACTTTCTCCCTCACCTCTCTGATGCTGATTCTTCACTAAAAATCTGTAATAATCACTTATGAGGCCTTCCCATAACAACTCCGTTTAGACTTTAAGCTATGCAGATGCGAGTTCTATTTACTTATTTAACTAGCGAGCTGTAGGCGTAGTTGGTCATATGGAATTTAATTTAGGGGCATCACATTAAAGGGGCAATGAATACAAATGAATGTCCAACAATTCAGATTTTTATTTGTTGCACTGTGTAACTTTCCTCTCTCTTTTCTCCGTCCCAACCAATTTCAATAAGACGTTGTGCAAAACAGAATCAAATCAATGAATTTCTGAAGCACATAGTGAAAAATTAAGGTGCATACGTCTGCACAGGAAAGGAGGGGCTTGTTTTATGTGGTGATGTCTGCTTGTAACAATGTCAGTGAGACCTAGCCTGTTGGTTTTAATCTTGGCTTCCTTTCAAACCACAAAGTCCTGTATCTCTCAGACAAGCGGAGGAACAATTTCTCGCATTGAGCACTTCAAAGTGCTTGAAACTGTAGATATTCGGAGACAATAAAACCAGCAGAGTACAATACAAACCGCTGCTCATTCAAATATCGCAATGCATAAATGCCAAGGAGTTTTCAGCAACATTTTCACAGCTTAATCAAATTTTATATCACTAAGATGTGGAAAATGCCATAATTAAAAGATTGATTATATGACTGAATATTAGACAAAAACAAAATATAAATCCAAGATTACAAAGTAGAACAGGAAAGGTCTAACATTATGAAAAATTGCTGAATGACAAATCCATGACAATAAATTGTTTGATTTTAAAATGAAAAAAAGTTTTAATGTTGGTTGTAACTTCAGTCCTACACACAGACTGTTGACTTGACTGTTTTCTAGCAGACAGGTACAGACATCCTCCACAAGGAGGCGGAGCCAGAAAGGTCATGGTTGAACAAACTGGCTGTTCACAATATGTTGTATATGAACTTAATAATGGAAACTTTAGTAGAAGAAAAACAGTGTGGTTTGTAAAAAAGAAAAATTTAAAATGCGTTATAAAATTATTGATGTCATTAGCTGTAAATCAAGCAATAAAATGAACAGAAATGCTAAAAGATAGCACTGTGTTTGTGATAAATCTATTTAATGAGTTTCTCTTTTTAAATTAATTAAAAAATGTGCTCATATTTTTTCAGACAAATTCCATTTTTTTAAACTCACCTTGTTCATGTTTCCAGCTTGTAGAGTATTCATGGTGTGCGATGCACCAACCTGAGGTCCTCCTTGGGTCAGAGTCTCTGCCAGCACACTTCCTCCAACACCAGGTCCAGTGCCTCCTTGTGTTGCTTGGCCTTGGTACTGCATGCCAGGCCCAGGTCTCCCTCGGCCTGCTGGTCCCATAGCACCATTCATGACCTGTCCCCCTGGGCCCATAACACCATGACCCTGACCAACGTTCAACATCGTCTGGTTAAAGCCCAGGACTCCATTTCCTTGTCCAGTGGAAACACCTTTCTGGCCTTGGGGCGACTGGTGATTGGGCGAACCCTGGCCCAGAGGCCCTTTGCCCAGCACTGCACCCAGCTGGCTCGGCACCATGCCTCCCTGTTGGGGACTGCCAGAATTGCGCGCACCCCCAAGAATAGATGTGATTCCGGGTCGCAGGAGCTCCGAAAGTTGCTTGTGTTTGGAGGCGGCATCAGGCATAGCTGAGTTGTGACCAGGTGGCACGCCACTTGGACCACAATTAGCAGACGGCCCATTTCCCAAGTCTCCATTGAGGATAAGCTCATCAGGAAGATTGTTTTCCAGATCGAGTAACGATACAAGATCTAAAAAGAAACAGGAGGGAGAAGGAAAAGTTAGCCACCCCACTTTTAAGGACTTTAACTAAAACTTACAAAGTAGCTAAAAAAAAAAAAAAACACATTACTAATACAAACCTGGATCAAGCATTCATAATCTTTGCTCTTACTAACCTAACCTAAAGTACCAAAAGATCCTCATCCAGGAGTGAAAGACAATAAATTACCAATTTGATTTAACCCAATTCAAAAACATGACATGTACAAAATGATACTCAATGGGAGAGATGACAAAGTTTATTTATGTGGAAATGCAACTCAGCCATGATGGTATCGTTCATATTTCAAATAAATTAAATTGTTGAAAAATCTTTTGGTCAGACAGGTTAACCTAAAAATACCAATTATACTAATTTTACGGAAAGGGTTAAAATGGAATAGAAATAACCTTTAATGTTCATAATGGGGATATTCAGGTGTGATAGCAGCAAAGTGATTCCTTTAGTTGTTGAATTAAAACATTGTGTACTTAGTTTATTGTTGAGCAAAAAAAGAGCAAACCATGTTTGTGATTCCCTTTTTTAAAAGTGTGATTTTTCTGGGCCACAAGTACTTTTTATGATTTAACCCATGTGGCAAAAAGGTTGAACAGCTCAGGTGTATAATGAAGGCAAAAGTAAATGCATGTCTTAGAACTAAATATATCTATTGGGAATTCATAAGATTATAAAATTGGACTTTTGTTCAAAACATAAAAGCAGTTAAATTTTTTGACATGTTATTTTAAAATAAATCAAATTTTGGTCATTTTTAATATTAGTAGTGACATCAAAATAGCATGCTGATGTACTCTCATATTTGTGAAACCTTAATAATTCAGCTGATGCAATTTGTCAGGAAGCCTTTTCATTTGAGAAAGAAAAAAAACATCAACATGTATACATGTATTTATTCAAACAAAAAAGGAACTGGCTATTTTCTGTGTATTAAAATCATTTTTGTAACTGTCGTGTACTTAATCAAAAACAAAGAGAGAAAAAACACAATCGAGTGACATGTTATGTTTGAACTAAAAGTTGCAATAGAGTGACAGAGAAGCAAAGCTTTTGTCTGCAGTTGTGCAAATAACACACCAACTACCAATAAAATACTGAAGTCTAAAGCCTAAATCACGTGGCAATGCCAAGGTCCTTCCTGTGTAGGTGTGTGCTTTTGTATGCAAGCCAATAAACAACAACCACACCCCAACACACACCTTATTCTATGTCGCCACTGATTTATAACAAAAGAGGAATCCAACCAGCTTCTTAATGATGCATTTTCACAGTAATTAGGAAAAATAGACACTTCAGTTTTCCAAAGATGAAGTCTAAAACCACATTTATAAATTTCAGCTGACCCCAAAAGTGTGCTGAAGGAAATCGAAAGGCTAAACACGGGCCTTTGACATTATACGCTATGCAGCCATACGGTGCCGTCATACCTACAGCCAGCAAGGTAAACAAATAGACAATCTGGCATCTAATGGAGGGAGCAGCTTAAAAACAAGAGACGTTACATTTACTGGAAGCAAAAGCCGATCCACTGAGAAAATTGGGCTGCTTCTAATGAGTCAATGAAACAATAAGTCATGAGAGTTGGTACTAGCAAGAAGCTACATTGTGGAGTTTAACTTTACAGAGTAAACATTCAGGGTTTTTTTTTTTTTTTTTTTAGAAATTCAGCGTTTATTAGTTGTCATTATATGCACATTAGGAATGACTCATTGGAAAGTCAACTAACCATTAAACAGTATGAGAGTAAATGTATAACCACAAGCAAAAAATGCAGTTGCTTTATGGTAGTAAATCAAAAAATAAAAATAAAAAACCATATACGTTCATTTTTGAGAAATTACAATATGTGTTCTGATTTACCTCATTAGAATAAAAGTTCCTTTTAAAATTCCAAACCTTGAAGAAGGTATTAAATATACTTTTCTATTAAGTCCATATTTCTGAATTAAAAATGTTTCCTTTAATTGTTTTTTATTAATGTTCTAATTTTAAATGGGTTTTTTTCTGTGAAAATTGTTAAAGTGGGAAGAAAACTCCAAGTTTTCTTTCTTTCTAAGGTGTTTAAAAACTACATTTGAGAAAGCCTAAAATGGCAGCTTTTCATTCATTTTAAAACTTTAAAACACACAGCTTGAATTCAACAAAGAAATACAAGTTCACTCATTTTGTTTATACATGAAATCTCAGTAAAAACCGAAGAGCTGCATTCTGCAAGTGATCAACAGACTGCTGTTGACATTTGTTAGTGTTTAGTCTGCTAATTGTTTGTAGAAGAACATTTTAAGATGTTGACTAAGAAATAATTTTGTTGTTTTAAGTTTATCCTAATAATGGCCATTTTACTCCATCATTCTTTTTCTTCAGATTTTGGCCTTTTCAGACAAATGTTTTGGATATGAGAAGGACATTAAAGGGTCATTTTTGATTATTCTGTACAAATATTTCTGATGCTTTGAAGTAATTTCTTGTATTCTATTTGTCGTTTATAAAATGTAAATGTTAAGTGACCACAACAAATATTTATAATCTGTTGCTGAAAATTACTTTGTTTTGATCAGGTATCATAAATGCACATATATTTGAAAGGTCAATGGGCCCAAATGGGATCATATTCAAAATGACTTAAGAAATATAAACTCTTTTGGAAAATATTTTGCAACTACATTGGATTGTAAAATGAGAGAAGTTTTATCAATATTAATCTCCATAATTCAGCAAAATACTTAATTACCTAAAGAAATAAATGAATAAGCAACGATTAAGTGCTTAAATGGTAACAAGTGGTGTGTTGATGGTCATAAAGCTGGATATGACATGGATAAATTGTCTGAAGCTTTTATTCAATATGGAATTTCCTTTCCCACTGTCACTACAGTTGACTAATGAACCGTATTATGAAAGCAGAAATAGTTGTATTTCTAAAACGAGAAAAAAAAAAAGAAATCTATATGACAATGGAGTATTCTCAAGGTTTGTTTTCTCCATGCTTTTTTTGTTTGCTTTGGCATCACTTCATGTGTTTCAACTTTATCTCTGAACATAAGCATACAAGTTTATGTACAATATCATACATAAGCTTACAAGTTCATGTTCAGAGATAAATGCTGTGTCGTGGGGTGAATTAAACCCATACTGAAATTTTTCCGTTTGGATGTTACTATCATCCTATATTCTTTTAAATTTTTTTAGAAATGTGAGGCAAACATTATGATTTTGGCTAATTTATCATTTAGCCAACATTATTTCTTGTCACAATTTCTAGCGACAAGAAAAAAATCTTTTTCATGTCTTAAAAATTAGACTGAGCAGCACTTTTACAGCTGCTGGTTACAAGAACTAATAGCTATAAAATCTAAATCATTTAGTTCATTTTGAAATCTTATTTGTTATGAATTGCAATTACAGGACCAGGTAATAAACTAGGTCATATCTAACTGTCCTAAAGCAGCACAGTAAGTTTTTACTGCTAAATAAACACACATAAATCTTTGATTTTACACACCGATTGTTCAAAAGAAGCAAAGCATACAGTCAAAGATCAAAATGAAAACCTCTAAAATTAACACAACTAAGCTGAAAAACAGTCGCTGTCCACTAATTTAAAGACAGCTCACAGCAAAATTATCTGCTACCATCAAATCATGTATCTGAACAGAACATGATATATAACGTTCATATTTATGTCACCTTCCCTTACATTTTTAGCGCTCATCACTGTATCATGAAGGCTGCATTTCTGGTTCTGCAAAGGTTTGTGGTTTTACTGCCCTGCTTTGAGCTCCTAAACAACCATCATGAGAAAATGGTAAAATAATGCCAACTTGTAAATGGCTGTCACACACACACTCTGTCTTCTTCTAGATGCAGAAGCACACATATTTAAATGACAAACGAATAATAATCAATTTCCTTGTCAAACAAATTTGAATAGAAGTTTGCTTTAAATGTCAATTTATAAAGTAGCGTCTTATTGTCTTCTTCCCTAGTCAAGCACTGGCCTTATCAATAGCTTAAAGAAAGCTAAACATCTGCTAATCAAAGTCTGGATCTTGAGTCGTCTTGCATTTATGTGACATATGCTACATCCGAAGTTGAAGAAACAACTGTGAATTTATTCTTATAAATCTAATTGAGAAAAACATCTGTAAAACTTTATACATGCAATTTTAATTTCAAATTTGAAGTTAAGTGTACAAAATTTGTAGCACACAACACAAGTAAAGCTGTGAAAATACAGCTCTACTTGTGGAAACAACATCAGACAAATCATAACTACTTAGAAAAATTTAAATGAACACTAAACGTTGGAGAAAATAGGAAAGCCATCCCTTCTTCACACAAATATTAATGAATGAAATGCTCTCAAAAAACATAACAGTAATATTGGCGCACACGTGTCAAATGCAAAATGTTAAAAGAAGTGTGGAGAGGAGACAAAGAGTATCTGGGTGGCTTCCAACGACACCCACCCTTCATCTCGATCAGTTCCACCACAGCAGACATCAGCTATCTGCCAAAATGTTACTAATCTTGCAAAAGGGAATATTTTTATGCTCCCCACCCCTCTTATTGTTCAAATGCTAACATATATGTTGGTCCTCAGAGACAAAGAAATCAAGCAAAAAGCCCAATAGGTGAGCAGTCCCGTTAGCAAGTGGCTCAAACTTGCCCATGGTGTCGACGCGCCGATTCAGCTACACAAATGAACACAAGCCTGACTCTGGCCCGTGGCCACGGGCACAAACACATACTGACACGAGTCTGGAGCCCCATAAAAAACTGTCACACATTAACATAAACATCAAAGACTGCTAATCTGTGTCCATGAGCAACAGCTCAGCATGCATGCTCCTCCGTCCTGATGCCAAAAATGAAAATGAGACCCAAGTAGAATCAATTTATGCTTGCAGATATTAGGAGTACGCCAATCATCAATTTTTTTACTATTAATTTTAACAGAAAAGAACAAAT